GTGTGTGCGTGCAGCAGTATGATGAAAATTCTTGGAGCATAAAGGCCCTTTTATCATCCCCAGAATGAGAGACTGGCACTGTCGGGTTAGTGTGCGTTAGTATGTGCATGTGTGTATGCAGCCAGAGGTAGAAAGCGAGAGGTAAGCGCAGCCTGGTACTCAACTGCTGAAGCCCCATCTTTGTGTGTGTGAGAGAGAGTGACACACAACCGGAGTACAAATAAACGAGACAAAGACTGATAGCACAACAGAGAGATAGAATGACAAAGACAGACAGAGGATTGTATATGTCCCTGTCAGTGTCATTACACAAAGTGTCACGTGTCACCATAGCTGATTTCAAGTCCTCTGGAAAAGGTCCAAGTCTCAAGTCGTTCACAACATGTCCAAGGAAAGCCTGAAATCTGTTAGTAAGTCTCAATTGACTGTTTGCTAAGCCCCGCCAGCTATAGTTACTGTTGCTATGCCTGTCAACCTTTATGTTCTCACACCCAGTTTATAAAGATAGATAGAGGCAGATTTACCACTCAAAATACCTACTTTTTGAAACAGTCCTAATTTCAAATAGAAGAAGATAAAAGCACTCTGCTAATTTCTAGCCAGGGACCTTTGATTTTTCTGGCTATGACAAATAATCTAACAGATTGTATTAGCTGTAACTAGCAAAGCAATTATGCTAACATTGATTGGGCAACTGCACTTTTGGGGCGAGGTTTTGTTTCATGCTGAAACATATGCTTCAAAGTATTTACTGAGATAAAACCTTGTCTCTCCTACACTGCAGCTTGAACTGCTTAATTAAAAGTCTCTTTATCTTTGAAAGGAAAAGATGTTAGCGACTTACAGGCCTTTATCTTTAAAAAGCAAGTTAATAGTGTTTTTCAAAATACCATTGCTTTCCCAACAAAGTTAAGACAGCTTGTGGACCTCATTAACACCTCATTAGCAGTGTCATGCTAGAAGTTGTTGCGTCAGTAAATTTAAAACAGCGATGGTTTTGATTGAGGTCATGCATTTGCACTTATTATATAAACCCCGTTATTTCACCTTTCCCCTGCAGCTTGGTGTTCAAAAATGTAAAGTAATTTTTTAATGCATTTAAACGCATGACCACAGGCAAATCACAACTGAATTCTGCTTGCATGGAGAGCTATTAATAGCTTTTATGCACAAATGAAAGTTGCTCCCATTCAGTAGAAACAATACTGTAAAAAAAAAAGCCTGTGTAGCAGGTTTTGTAGTGTTTCGCAACACCCCCCTCACAACTTTATTTTCAGTCCAGCAAAACTGCCACATCAAAAGCAGAAGCGGCACAAATCCCCTAAAGTCAAGTCAAGTCACATTTTATTCATATAGCCACAAATTGCACATTTGCTGAAGGCTTAATATAGATTAAAAAAAGATTATTGAGGATTAAACAAATGACAGGTATGGGCTTTATAGCCTTCACATAGGCCTATACATGCTAAAACCAGTCAAGAATACTATTGATGAACTTTTAGGTGTCCTAAAGTACCTGTTCACATACGTGTACAAACCCGAGTAACCTTTTCTTGAGCAGGATGACTCACTTAACCAGCTGTCTGTCAAAACTGCCACAGAGGGAGTGAGGTTGTTTATCATAACTGTATGATCTACGAAGCATTTTTTCTTTCTAGGTAAACTATCTTTGGAATCAATTAAAGACTCTGTGTTTCTAGGAACCAGAAATTGAAGAGGTTTGGCCATATAACTAGTTAAATTTTGAGTTTCTAGGAACGATTAGGGAAAGAAATCTGTGGGCAGGCCGGTTTGTTTTTAACCTCTCATTTAGGGATCAACTTGGAATCTCTTGCTCAAACAGTCCAGCAATACACGCACGTCAAATGGTCCATTATGTGCCACTGAATAGCTACAAACCCTAAATCCCTGAAAGACGGCAGAAGCGTAATTCTGGAAAGCCACAAAAACAAAATAACTTCTCAAACAGTGTCAGCTGACAGTGGGAGAGTTCCTGGAACCTTGTCCATGCAAATGAAAAAACTAAAAAAGAAGTGAAGGGGGGAAGATGCTTCAGCGTTTGCAAATTGAAGACAGCAAACACATTATTGGAGAGAACACTGACAACAGCTCAGTCCCTTAAGATGTGTCCCAAATAAATGCCAACACACACACACACACACACACATGTTGTTCTGTACATTTGTGCTTGTGCTTTGTGCCAGAGTTGTATAGGCTCTATAGGTAGTATTTTAGAACATATTAGAGAGGAGAGTGCTTCAAACAGACGTCAGGGATGATGGGTATTAATCTTTACAATGCTTATCTCAGGAAATTAATTACAGTGCTGTTCAGTTCTGTCAACAGTTCATGAAGCCTGGATGCAATATCATAAAGTGAGATAGACGTATAGTGTAAAACTAATTGGAAATATAAGTGATACACCAACTTCCTGCTTACAAAATAAACTGCTCCCTTTTTCTCCATTGTTTGACGCATGTCTTTACAAAGTGGGGTAAAGGTTTGCTGCGCCGACAGTGTGCGCGATGTTCTGTTCAGGTACACTTAACCTAATGAAATTCCTGCCATTGAGGTCATCTTTTTTTTTTAGGATTATGAGCTTGCAGCAATGTGTTTAATCACTGTTGACAACCACCCTTCCCCTTTGTATTTGAACAGGAGAGAGAGAAGAAAAGACAAGCTTCATATCTTTTCTGCACGTTTGTGCGCATGTTGTCCGATGTTGGTGGTCTGGTGTGTGTGTGTGTGTATGTGTGTGCTGCATGAGGAAAAAGCCAAAGAGAAACAAAGAATTCATGTATAAATGTGTTTCATTTGTGTATTTGTTGGTGGGGTGTTATTTTTGTGTCCACTTAGAGCCTTTGTAAAGCTTTTTTCTCTCTCTCCTACAGTTCCCGTCTTTCTCTCTTCAAAGTCAACAGCAACACATTCCTGCATCTCCTCAGTCTCACAAAAGGCCATTCAACCATCTAATCTAATAAACCTTCTTTTTCATTTCAAAACATTTTATTTTTTTGTAGGCTACTGTGTCCTGTACATTCATTTTCTTATTTTCACATTTTCAGTGCTTCTGGGAAACGTAACGTACATCAGTCTAATCTCCTTTTACATTAAAGTGACACTCCGTAACTTTTGAATGACGAGATAACACATTCTTCCTCTCACACATAACATTTTTTGCTCAACTCAGTACACTCAAAGGGTTTTGCCGATTCGGTCATACTTGGTCTTGGATGACCAGTAGCTTATGGTGGCTAATGTTTGCAAACTTTGGCTAGATACAGCTGTATGGATGGATATTAAAGGGGCACTTCACTGACTTATTTCTAAATTAAAAAACATTCTATACTCACCTCTAGAAGTTTGCAGCATTCAGATAGTTTTGATTTTACTTCATTTTTCATCTGGTTTTCTGATATCTGTCTCTATTACTCTTGACTTGGCATGTCTCCTATGCACATGGTAGCTTTGGTCCCCATTTACGGGGTCCCCTGGTTTAGCGAGCTGTAAACTGCTAACAGTGGAGCCTCAGTGCTTTTACGAGAAGACGTCTGACCTCAGTTAACTTAACAGAAATACAGCAGAATGTTTTTGTTGAGCAAACAAGCACAAATAGACCCAACTTGGTTTGTAGTAGTTGGTCAAATAGAGTCATAGACAGGGACAAGACTAATTTAACACTTTATTTGCCTGGTATTCAGTATGATGGTTCATTTACAACCGAGATTTGGCACAGGGGGAGAATAGGGAGACAGAACGAGTGCAAAGTGAGAGAGAGAGAGAGAGAGAGAGAGAGCGAGGGAGACCAGGATGGGGTGAATAAGCCATTTGTTTGTCCCTCCGCTGTCCTCCCTGGCCTTGCCTGGTGCTTGGTGCCTGGCGTCCAGGGTCATTTCCTTTCATAACGACCACTGCCATCCTTGCATTAGCATTTTCACTGCTGTGGGGGCAACACTCGAGTGAGCGAGTGTGTGTGTGTGCTTGGTTGCTTGCTTGTTACGGGCCTTATTATGCAGGGACTTGGGAAGACTGAGAGAGGGGAGCAGGGCCGAGACATCGACCTGACATCGCTGAGATCCACCATGCCAGCCAGCGGGCCCCTACAGGTTAGTGCACCCAAAAAGAAAGAAAGAAATGTGTAAAAAAAAAAGAGGGAGAGAGACAGAGAGGACAGAAATAGAAAGAAAGAATACAAAACTTTCTGTCTGTTTATGATTCCCCTCTTTATCTTGCCCTATTCCCTTCACTCCTTCATCTCCCTGTCTCTCAGTCCTGGTCTATCTGAGACTGAATCGCTGTTCCTGTCTTAGCTCTGCCGCAGAGCTGTGGTATGTCCTGTCTATGTGAGAGCTGGGGATCAGAGGGTTGCTGTGCGGCTCTCTGGGCTCGGCTAAACGTTTATACTCTATTCTGAGACCAAGTTACGATCGCAACATCCATCAAATATCAATTAGGGCCTGGGTGCAAAGGCTAACAAAGTCCTCTAATGCAGCAGCGGGTCAACAGAGCAGCTACTCACTAATGCCACAAAAAATGGGTGAAGGCAGGGTTGGGGACCTGATGTATTATTTTTAAGAAGACACTTTTACAAACATCCTTTTTCAAAATATATTTAACAGTAGTTTTTTTTTAAAAATATATTTAAATAATCAAATGTTTTTTTAGTTGAATTTTGTTTGGCATTGTTCAAAACAGTATTTCTTTCTTCAAATAATCATCTGACTCATTACAGTTATAGGTATGCAGACAGCCTCCCTAACACCAGGGACTCACCAACACACACAGACACCCACACACGCGCACACACCCTGATGTCTGTTGCGATTCATCATCTGTATCAGTGTCAGGGCCACCAGTATTCCTGCTCATGAATCAGTTACTGGTATATTTAACCACACAGTCTCCAAACAAAGTGCTATTACTCAAGACTCTTGCTCTCTCTCTTTCTCTCTCCGTTTGTGTGTGTGTGTGAGTGAGTGAGTGAGTGAAACATTAACAGATGTGGGAAAAAAGGTGTACAATAGCTGAGTGGCCATATGTATACATGTTAAAGCCACAGTAAATACACATAATCACAGTAATCTTTAAAGTGTTGCAGTGGAAAACTGCAGTGGAAACCAAAAACTTCTTGACTTCTTGTCGTCTTTTTTAAATTTTATTCATTCTGTATTGCTGCTGTTGATCAAGAAGCAGACTTAAAGATTGTGTATATGTTTTGTATCTAATATGTGTTAGATAATTTAATATGATTGTTGCGTGTGTAGCTTCTTGTATCCAAAAGTCCTATATTCCACTCTCAGTTTTGTTATGAACTTTACCCAATAGCAGTGTTGCTCAGTAGAAATCTTACATCTATAATTTAAATTCCTGTCAACTGGATTAAAGTTGCAACAGTTGCATCTTAGAAATCTATGTAGCGGTGAAAAAAAAAAAGCTTGTTTACCTGCTTGCTAACCACCTCTAAATTTACCACTCATGAATGCTGGTTCTGTTCATTCATTTAACTGAAAGCAGTTTACACTGGAATCACACACTAACACGCACACATAAGCAAACACACTTTCAATCCCTGAATTTCCTTCTCCTGTTTGTAGGAGTCACACTTGCATATGATTCAGTATTACTGTTTATGAAAATACTGTGCAATGCACAGTTTATCTGTAATGTCGGGAATAATTTGTCATAAATGAATCTGGTGACAGCCTTTAGTGTTGCTAATGTATTCGCTAGTGTTTAGTGTAACCACAGAGTAGCTGAAGCAGAGGCCTGGTGCATATTTTGGCAGATATTACTAAGAATTCAAGTGACTAACGTGGATTGATGGCATGATGACAAAGACCACCATGACTGCTGGCAGAGGTCTTGCTCCCTTGATCGCAGATAAGCTGAGAACGTATATAGCACCATTTGGCCACCATCAGCCACTAGCTGGTTGTACTGATCATATCATGTGGCTCAGAATGTAAATGTTTACAGTCACAGATGCCAAGTCCTTGCCACAACTATTCATTTAAACTTCGATGGCTTAATCATATGTTGACGGATGTAAAGAGAGAAATGTGTGATCCCAAGAAAAGCAGAAATGAGTGTCTGTATGTGCACGTGTGTGTGGGTGTTAAAGTAGGCATGTGTGTTTAGGAAATCGCTCTCTCAGCATGATACACATCCTGTAAGTAATGCCCACTCAGGCTAGTTTGTGACTGATACTATCATCACTACATTATGGATATCTCATATGCCTTTGCCATGTTGTTTTAACAGACAGATGGATGGCTGGTTGCTACTGTACTTAATGGTGTGAAGATGCAGCAGGTGTAGCAGTTCAGTTTGTGACACTGATATTCTCCTTTAGAATACCAGCTATATAATTAGATGTGGTTTTCCTGAATCTAAATCTGAAACTTCCAGCGGTAATTTATAGCCACTCTTGAAACATACGTCTCATTCATATACTTGTATAATACTGCAGCCAGTCTTTAAGCTTGTTGGCATCACATGGGATCTCTTAAAGGACCAGTGTGTAGGATTCAGTGGCAGCTAATGTTGAAGTTGCAGGTTGCAACTAACATTGCTCCATCTGTATTTGTATTTGACCTGGGAATGGGAACGGGTTGTGAAGTGTGTAGGAAGAAATACAGTGGCCGCAAAACTAGCGCAAAAACGTCCAACCAGTGTTTGGTTTGTTCATTCTGGGCTACTGTAGAAACATGGCGGTTCAACATGGCGGATGCCATGGAAGGCGACCCACGTCATCGGTAGCTAAAAATGGTCTATTCTAAGGTAACGAACAATTCTTATATTCAGATGTTTATACATAAAACAAAAAACATACCAATGAATATTATATTTAATTTCTGCCAATAGATCCTCCTAAATGTTACACACTGGATTTTTAACAGTTTATAGTATGTTTGTAGCAGAAACAACCATTTGGGTTGACAAAAACACGTTTACTTACTCAATAGCTGCTCTGGATTTTCAAGGGTGTCACATAATCTTCTTCAGCAGTTAGGGCTGCCTAGTTGTTTTGCTGTTTCCAAGAACAAAAGTGAACTTTTAATCACAACCATGCTGGTGGTTTTTCTTGCCTTTTGGACTGAATGATTTGTTACGAATCATGAAGACATTTGTAAAAAGTTTTGGGAGCTTTTTATTGCCTTTAATTGATAGAGACAGCTTGAGAGTGTCAAGAAAGGGGGGAGAGGGAGAGGATGACAAGCAGGAAAATTCCAATGTTCACAGCCATCTTGGCAATTTATGATACTGAAAAACTGGTATCTATTTGTACCATGTCTCGGTACTGATAGTCCACCTTGAATGTCTTGTGGTGCTTAGTATTGGGTATATTAGTATATAGTATATTAGGGTATATATTTTAGTTAGTTAGTCTGGACTCAGCCTTTAAGTCCTAGTGGCATATGAGCTGGCTCTGCATAATCTCCTGTGAGATGAAACCTTTGTAGGACCATCACCAAGGACTTTAAGTATAGTTTGATGCTCATGGATTTGTACTTGCTCTGCTTGATTTTCGAACAGGTCACTTAGTCTCTGAGTTCATGCCATTTCCCCCCTAACATGGCATTATGCCAGGATGTTCTCAACATCCTGGCATAATGCACTCAACATAGCTTCAAATCAAGTCTAAAGGAAAGCGTGTAATTTGCTGCAAATGGATTCATGAGGTTTTCACACAGAGTCTGTGTGAAGCTGCCATGATGAATCTATTTCTATGGTGTGAAGACTTTACACCTCTAAGTCACTCTCTATGTATAGAACGCAGCAACAGGGCGTGGAGGACTGACACAGAACTAATAGGAATCACACAGCCTTTCTAAGCATTGGAACCATATTTCAGAGCTGAAGACGGTGGTCCCTTAGTAGTTAAATCGTGCTTTACAAAATGAGAACAACACTTATCTGTAATATTTGTTTGCATATAATATATTTGAGGGTCCTTCTAATAATCAATAATGTGAAATAGCCTGAAAGCGGACACTATAGCCCGACATCTGGTGTCTATAATCTTTACGCAGGTTTTGTTGCCAATAATGCAAAATATCACCAGAGTCAACCTTTAACAAATAAAGTTCTCCATGCTTTCTGTGTATAGTTTTTAAATCTGTCTTGGACACTAGAGTGAAAACTTTGAGAAGATGTATGTTGTTAAGTCACTAGAAAACAGTATGATCTTTCACACAGAACCAACTCCCTCCACACCCACTCTTCAAGTTGTGCAAATTTGTACTCTCATTGAATTGAATTCAAATAGAACTTAAAGCGAAATTCGCATTTTAAAAGCATTCAGAGTCCTTGGAAAGATTTAAAATGGCCATTTTAATTGAAAATATGTCAACTTAGGCCTACAGTTTTCTATTACTAACAGGATGGTAGCATGTGTAAGTTTTTAACAGTCCTATCTTCTACAGTTGTAGTTGAGACTTCCCTCATATATAAAATTCTTATTAAGCCTTGTTCCAGCTCCTTAATGCACCCAGCAGTTCTGTGAAGGAACGTGAAATTGATGTCGTAGTGGCGGGGCACGAAGCACAAAGTAAAAGATGAAAGCAAAGCTACCCTGCAAACATGGCAGTTATATTTTGGAGAAATCATTTCTTGCATGTGAACAAGCCTGAACTGGCTATTGAATGACTTTGTCAGAGAGATGCCAGAAGGGCAGGGTCACTTTAACACCAGTCTTACATGTCACTCATAATACACACATATTAATAGATGATCAAAATAAGAGGGCTACGTTAGTCATAACAATGGCAACAACTGTATTTAACTGTATTCTCAGGGGTTGCTCTTCCTGTATTTTTCTCAAAACAACAACTTGTTTACCGGAGGACTTTTTCTTTTATTCATCTGTTTTAGTGTCTGGTGCTGCGTGTCCCTTAGTGACCACTGTCCCTCTCATCTCCTTCCCACTTATCTCACTTCCCAGAATACATTGCTGCCTCTCTTTGATAACACGTGTGTGTGTGTGTGTGTGTGTGTGTGTGTGTAACCCCGTCTTGGCCCCTACATGGCAAATGCCACATTCTGAGTGTGGGTGTAAAGTACGAAAAAGTGTGTGTGTGTGTGTGTGTGTGTGTGTGTGTGTGCG